GTGTGTTCACTGGAGTAGCACTTTTAATTTCCTTCAAGAACTTTTCCTTTGCATTCACAACTTGGCTAACTGTTTGGCGCAAGAGGCCTAGCTTTCAGCCTATCTCGGCTTTCGACATGCCTCCTCACTAAGCTTAATCATTTCTAGCTTTTGATTTAAAGTGAGAGACGTGCGACACTTCCTTTCACTTGAATACTTAGAGGCCATTGTAGGGTTATTAATTGGCCTAATTTCAATATTGTTCTCTCTCAGGGAATAGGGAGGCCCGAGGAGAGGGAGAGAGACGGGGGAACGGTTGGTCGGTGGAGCAGTCAGAACACACACAACATTTTATCGATTAAGTTTGCCGTCTTATATGGGTGCGGTTCGTGGTGCCCCAAAACAATTACAATAGTAACATCAAAGATCGCAGATCACCATAACAAATATAATAATAATAATGAAAAAGTTTGAAATATTGCAAGAATTACCAAAATGTGACACAGAGACACGAAGTGAGCAAATGCTGTTGGAAAAATGGCGCCGATAGGCTTGCTCGACACAGGGTTGCCACAAACCTTCAATTTGTTTAAAAAAAACAAAAAACAAAAAACAACAACAAAACAAAAAACAAAAAAAACCCCCGCAATATCTGCGAAGGGCAGTAAAGCGAAGCACAATAAAACAAGGTATGCCTTATATATAAATAAAAAAAAAACTCCTGGCACATTGCTAGTCATTCCTCATTTTGTTTATTGATTTTATTATTCGCGCTAAGCATAATACTTTATACTTGCTTTCAGCGAATTTCATCCAGTTTTCAGGTGACTTTTTTTCAATTTATCAAGATAATTTTGAATCTTAATCCTGGCCTTCAAAGCCTCTGGTGCCAACTGACCACATCCTGGTGTCATCTACAAATTTACTAGTGTATGCCGTATTCCATCTTCCAGGTTATTCATGAAGCTATTGAATAGCACTGGGCACAGGACAGAACTGTGGGAAACAATTTGATATCTCCTCCCAGCTTGACATTTGAGACATTGACAACTACTTTAATCTTGATTTATTCAACCAATTATGCACCCACGATTAGTGATTTTTATATAGATCATATTCTTTTACTTGCTTATGAGAATACCCAAGACCCAGGCCTTACTGAGATCCAGGTGTATTGCATACACTACTCTTCCCCCATCCAAAAACTCAGTCTCCTTGTCATAGAAGGAAATCAGATTAGGAATGACTTGTCAAGAGCAAGTCATGTTGGCTGTTTGTTACCATCTTGTTTCGTAGTTGGTAGAGTCGGAAGGGACCTGAGCAGGTCATCAAGTCTGACCCCCTGCCATGGCAGGAAAGAGTACTGGGGTCAAACGACCCCAGCAAGGTGTTTGTCTAGCCTTGTCTTAAAGACCCCCGAGGTAGGAGCCAGCACCACTTCACTTGGAAGTTGCTGCCAGATCCTAGCCACCCTGA